ACCACCGAGTCCAAGCGCGAGACCGGTCTGGTAAGCTGCCACATAATTATGTGCAGGTCGGGCCAGTACGATGGCTCGGCTGGCACAGGCCGGGCTCGGCAAAGTAGCCCGGTAAGGCCGCCGTGCCAACGTAAGGAATGAAAAATTCAAAGCAAATATAAGGTGCCGAGCCCAGTCCCGGGCTCGGCGGCGTAAGTAAAAAGAAAAAAGTGTCGATCTCAGTACCCGACTCGGCCAAGTAAATATGGATAAATATGCAAAACGGCACCAAGCCTAAACTTGCAAATACTCATACGCAAAAAACATATTCACCCAATACAAACATAAGTAAAAAAGCAGTAAAAACACACTCATTCATAAACAATAATTCGTTCGAAACATAGAAATCATCCATAATTCAAGTTTTCAAAACAAATAATAAACGCCATAGGCTCGAAACAAAGCTTTCAAAAGAAGTATAAATATGCACTACATAATCATTTCCGAAAAACAGGCCACACGCGGCCGAAATATCGCGGCACGCAGGCCGGAGAAAACCTTCAAGGAACGGCCTCGGTATCGACCTTCACAACCTCAACCTCGGCTTCCGCCGCAGCAGCTTCCTCGGCCTCTGCCTCCTTCGCCCCCGAGGTACCGACCCCAGCCTCGGCATCGGCAGCCGCCTTCTCGGCCTCCTCCATCTCCGCGACTACCGACAGAACGGCGCCGCGCCTCGGCCGGGACTCAGGGTCCGGGTCCGCCTCGAATGGCTTATAACTCGGGAGGAGCTCCCCGGGGGCCAATCGCCATGTCTGGAAAGAGGGCACCGCGCCGAATTTCTCGAAACCGACAATAACGCCTTCGGCCCAGCCCCGGAGTCTCCGAACCACCGCGGCTTCGTCGGCGTCGACCTCGCAGATTTGGCCTTCGAAGTCCAGGTCGTACCGGGCCGCCTTCTCAGCGAGGATAGCCCTGAAGTCGTCCAGGGAGAGCACCCCGGCATCGAGACGCTGGAACAACCAATAAAGGTTGTACGCCGCCGAAATATCCATGCTCTCCCTCATCTCCTCAAAGTACTGGACCTGAACCTCGGCGTAGGTCGCTGGAGGGGGAAGGGCGATGGGCTCGCCGTCGATCTGCTTGGCAGCCTCCTTCAACAGGCAGACCTGGGAGCTCAGCCTTTTGCCATACTCTGTCAGCTCGGAGGCCTCTTCCTCGTGCTTCCTCTTCAGATCGGCGACCTCGGCAGCGTGCAGTTCGGCGAGGCGAACGAGGTCGGCCTTGTGCTTTTCCTCCAGCCCGTGGACCTCGTCAACACGACGCCTCTCGCTCTCCGACAGCTCGGTGGCCAGCCTCACCTCCATCTCCTCCCTCTGCTGAGCCCACGCCGCCCTCTCTCGGACCAGATCCTCTGCGGCCTTGGCAGCCGCCCTCTCCGCCACGGCGACAGCACCGCGCTGGAGGACCAGCTCGTTCTCCAGGGACGAGATCTTCCTGACCTCATCCTTGAGCTCGCTGATCCGACCCTTGGAGGTGGCAAGATCCTCCTCGGCCCTGTCGCGGGCATCGACCTCCTTCTGCATGGCCACGGCGGCGTGGATCAGCTCGACCATGGTCCGGCCCATGGACGCCACCGAATGTTGAATGAGTTGCGTCGGCGAGAGCATGGTCAAAGCCGTCTCGGCAGTCGGGGTCCAAGAGGCCATCACGGCCTGTGCCGCGGACATCACCTCCCCTGGCAGACTGTAGGGGTTGGGCAAGTCGAGCGGAACCGCCGACGCCGAGTCGATAAACCACTGGTCCGGGAACCGCTCGAGGCTCTGGGAGAGGCTGGCCTTGCGGCTTGGGTTCACCGGAATGTAGGTTGAGGAGCCGGCCTGGTGGACGAAGGCCGACCTCTCGCCTGCAGTGGCGGCCCCCGAGACTTCGGACACCTTCTTCTTCTTCGGGGACGGCGGGGCGCTGTCTCGCACCTCGGCTTCGGCCTCCGCAGGCTCATCGGGCTCTTCCGCAAGGACCCGGCGCTTTCTCTGGCGGCTTCGGCGGGGCAGGATCTGAGACCCCTGCCGAACTTGACGACGGGGCCTTCCTTTTAGATTGCCTGGTGAGGAAGTCCATGCGGCTGGCCATCTTCCGGTCTTTCAAGGAGCTCGGGTGCGCGCGCGCGTACTTGTTCGCCTCCTTCACCGAACCAAATCCACACTCGCGATGGAGGGGATAGTACACTGTCAAACGAGAACAAAATGCAAGGGTGAGAATAGACGTGAAGGTACCCATACGTAGGAATGAGAAAGTGAAGGAGAAATACCGGGCTCGAAGTGCTTGCTGTTGTATTCGGGGCACAGGTCATGCTGAATTAAGCTTTCCTCCGCAACGAGATTTCGGTAATTGCGCTTTTCCGCAGCAAGCCCGAGCAGAGTTTCGATCTTCGCAACCAGCTCGTCACTCGGCTCAACGTGAGGGTTGTGGACTGAAATGCAAACACCGACCTGTTAGCAGGGAAGGACAATTAATTAGAAGGGCGAAGATGAACGAAAGTAAATAACTCACAAGGGCCGGAGATGAAGTCGAACGACGGGTGCCGAGTCGCGTTGGGTGTCCTCCATTCTCCGCCGACCCAAAACCATTCCGGCATATAGCCGTGCAGCGACTCCGGGATCTTATGAATCAAGGACTTTTCCACACCGGGAGATACCGAGCTATAGTAATTGCCGGACTCCCCGGACTTCTTGAAATCGAAGAGGGCTTTCACCTCGTCGCAAGTCGGGTCAGCCCAACCCTGCTGGCGGAAGAGGACTATAAGGCCGACCAGCCGGGCAAAGACTGTCGGGACGAGCTGGCTGATGCCGATGCCGATCCCGCTAAGTATGTCGCTCAAAGCTCCTGGCAAGGGGAATCGGAGACCGAGCAAGATGCTGGAACGGTACACGCCGATGCAGCCCGGCGGGGGGCAGTGAATACGCTCTCCGGCGTAAGGGGCGAAAACTCTAACCCCGGCACCGAAGCATGCCTTTCCCCGCAGCTGGGCAAGATCGACGTCCCTTAATACAGGCGCCGTCGTCCAGGCAGTTTCCGAGGCAATAGACGGCCATACACGCGCAGGGCGGCGCCAGCATCCAGGGGGAGCCGTGGTCGAGCTTTCGACAGCGGCATCGGTCTCGGAGTCCTCACGGCCCATGGGGACCCGCTCTCTCCCGTGGGTATCACCTCGGAGTGTCTCGTCAACCAGTTCGGCGTCGACGTCAGAGTCCTCGGAGGGAGCAGCGCTGGCCTCCCTCCCAACATTTTGGCCCTCGGACTGGTCGGAGCCGAGGTCGATGATCTCGACGGTAGGAAAGTCTGAAGGACCTTCTCGGCGTGGGCCTGCCTCCACCGCCGCTGACGTGACGCGGACGACTGAGATCGGAGTAACCCTGAGCGGTCGCATCATCTCTACCGCCGGAGGGGTATAAACCACCAACTCCCCCGTCTCCTCCGCCGTGAATCCGCCATCTCCGGCAGGGAGGTTCGTCGCATAATCAGAGGAACTCGACATAATCGAAAGGAAAACAGAAAAGAAAGGAGGATTTTGGAAAAAACGGAATTACCGGTACGAGAAGCGCCGAAAAGATTCGAAAGAATCTCGAAATTAGCCTTGGAACCCTTGCTGGAAAACCTGGTCGCTCGGAAGTTCGATTGCTCAGAAATCTCGGAAAACTCGTAAAAGCTTCTCGAGGAAGACGATGGAGATATATATATAAACCTAGGGCCAATCATAGCGTTACACGTGGCGCAACGTTTGAAATTCAAAATTAAAGGTTCGATCCAACGGTCAGGGTTCAAACGATCCGACGGTTCCAGAAGAACCGCGTGAGTACCACGCGCCCCAAAAGCCGCCACTTCACCAAAACGACACGCCGTTTGGCACGGACGAATCCTAGCATGACACGTGTAAAGACTCTGAATCGGCGCGACTTTTCATAACCGACAGGAAGCGTAACGGTCACGACACATTAAATGACCCGTCGTTTCGGGTCTGGGAAAGGTGTGCATGACAAATGGTAGAAAATTTTGCCAAGTATGTTCTGAGTGCCGACCTCGGATGTGTTTTTGGGTAGCGACCTCACAGAGGATGCTGAAGACACCCCCTCTGAGCTCGGGGGCCTGTATGTTGACACCCGAGTTCGAGAGCCGAACCGGAAGACCCGGTCCACTCGAAAAGTGCCGAGCTGGACCGGATTATTTTTTGACCTAGACGTCCCCATGAGTCCGTCCGCCAGTCCGGCGTTTGCGACTACGAAGCCCCGATGCCGACCTGAAGAGTGACGGTCTGGAAGAAAGGTTCCCCAGGGTCGGAGGAACAAGTAAAGAAAAGGTGCCGACTTGGAGTCCCAGGACGGGCTCCTGCAATGAAGGTGTCGACCTCGATAGTATTATAATAATGCCACTTGGAGGGTAATCATTGGCTAATGGATGGGACCCCTAGCCTGTTGACCTACTTCCCCTAGCCAAGACATAAAGCCTGTCAGCATTAAATGCCCGTCAGACAATGATGAGGAAAACCTCAAATCGCATTAAATTCTGTCAGGGAGGCGCCGAACTACTCTGCAAAAAACACTGTACGACAAGATTGATGAACAGTACCTGAACAGTGCCACATTTAAGGCAACTATAAATAGCAGCCCACTTCATTTATTTTGGGTTGTTGAATCTCAACTGTAAAGAGCTCTTTCTATATTTTCTCTCTCTAAGACTTGTAAGAAATTCGTGTAAGAAATCGCAAGTGCCGACCTCGTACGAGAGGCCGACCTCGTGATCTTTTAATAAAACTGCAATTAAACCGTATTTCCTTGTCTTTTCTTTATTTCTTTTCCATTATTTACCTTTTTAACCGTTGAACGGAAACGTCCGTCAACAGGGCTGTTGCGTGTCGCGATTGAGGGATCAAATTTGTAGATGTAGCGCAACATTTTGTCGGTGATTTTATATTTTGTGTCCTTAAGTCGAGCCGCGAGGTACTTCCCATTTTCGTGCTTGGCGACTGTGCTGAAGAACTCCAGAGTCAAATACCGGTAAGCATACGGTTCCGTATCTTCGAATTCCTCGAGGTCGATCAACTTAATGTAGCGGTAGATATCGTCACCGATCTCGAGCTCGTCGTTGAAGTACTCCCAGTCGATTTGGCGTGGTGCTAGAACGAGCCTGGCGTGAAGCCTTTGGTACGCCTTGACCTCGTCCATCGACACGACTTCAAAGGGAATGTCGTGTTGTTGTGCTAAGGACAAGGCTGGGACTGCCGGG